ATCTTATACACCAGTGCGTCTTATATTCCAAAAAATACGGTACCTTTTTTGGTATAATTGAAGCTATTTATAATTTCTTTGCTCATTCAACAACTCGATGGGACGAACTGCAGCAGGAGCTTAAGATCTCTGTCAAGCGTGAATCATAAACAAGTGCAAGAGAAAAGGTTAAACTGCAGCAGGAGCTTAAGATCTCTGTCAAGCGTGAATCAGAAACACGGTGGAGTGCAAGAGAAAAGGCAGTAAAAGTTGTACATGAAAAACTGGATGAGTTGCTAGGACTGTTAGAGCAATTAAGTGAGAATGGCAACACTGCTGAAACAAAATGTGGTGCTCATAATATTCTGCAATGCATGCTTACATTTGATTTTCTTGTACTTTTGCATTTTTGGAGAAATCTGTTATCATCTATCAATCGAGTACAGAAACGTCTTCAGGACCCAAAAATGAATTTTGGAGAAATTGATAGAATCAAGTGAAAAGTCCTGTCAAGAAGCACTTAAAGTGGGCAAGAATCAATGTGAAACATGGAGATTGACCATTGAAAGAAGAAAAATACGTCGTAAACGAATGGCAGGTGAAAATGCAGCTGATGCTGGATTGACTGCTGAACAGGAAATGTATTGCATCATGAAGGATGTTATTGATCGCTTGGTTACAGAAATAACAGGAAGATTTTCTCACTTACTAGATTTAAATTCACGGTTTGGATTTCTACTAGATGTGCAAAATATTGTTTCTTGGGATTTCAAAGGCAGAAAATTACAAGAAAAATGTTCTGACTTAGCAAAGAGCTATACAGGTGATATTGATGGACCAGAATTGTACAGAGAAATTAAAGACCGTAGAATGTTGATAAATAAAAGAACACAGACCAATTTTACTGAATCAATGGTTGCAACTGATTTGCTAACATTTATAATTTCATATGGTGAAGATTTTTTTCCCAAGTTTAGGAATTGCATTGCATATTTTGTTAACAATTGGGTTTCTATTGCTAGTTGTGAAAGGTCCTTCAGCAAGCTGAAATTAATTCTTACATGCTTGAGAACCTCAATGACTCAAGAACAACTTAGTAACTTGGTAATATTAAGTATTGAAGAAGACGTACTTAATACTTTAACTTTTGATAGTTTAATTGATGCATTTGCAGTAGCAAAAGCACGAAAGGTTCATATAATGTAACCATGAATACCAGAATGCTACCTGTACAAGATCTAGTTAAGTATATGTACAGTTTTGTAAACTAATGAAATTTGTTATTTGTAAACTTAACTGTTTTATAATCCGTGTACGCCACAAATGACTGGCTTCTCATATAAAATATAAGTTTCAAAATTAGGGATATAACAGAAATTTATTCTGCATGCTTGAAAGATTACTCTAGCTACGTGACTTTGAACAATACTGGATTACATAAATATCAAAATGGTTTACAAATTATGTAAGTACACCTAGTAGGCTATACTTCATTAGTTCCAGGTTTACAGTTGTGATATCGTGAGATGTTATATTATGATTTTATTTTAGGCCTGTGTAAGGTGGTAATTAATTCTTTATGTTATTGTCATTAAGTGGGTAATGAGTCACACAACAAATAATCAAAACATTTCAGAGGTGAGGGCACCAAAAGTGTCTTTGCCCCCGGGTGCTGAGAACCCTTGCTACGCCACTGGTTGGAAGAGGACCAGCCTACATGGGATCCTTTTCGTGATACCAGGTTCTGGATAAAACAGCCCTGTTCCTATAGTTGTGTTTAGTAGAGGCTTCTCATTAATTCCAGTTGAAAGTGGTTTCTTCCTTGCTCCTATGGTTGAGTTTGGGGGACTTTGTCTGCCTCAGAATACTGGCAACAGGACATACAAACACTGTTCCCACAGTTGAGGGAATGTTCCATTTCCATTTTGTAATTCTGGATGCAGGATTTCACATCCCTGCATTTATGGTCAGGTGAGCCAAGATTTCTTCTCCTAATTCCAGTTACAGATAGTGTCCTGTTGTTATGGGTTAGTTGAGGCAATGCCACAACCCCGTAATGCTGAATGTGGTTTCTTGTACTTTTTGCTCCTACAGTGGTTTTGTGTTTGCCCAGTTTCAGCCACATTTTAACTTCCTTTTCATAATTCCAGCTGCTTGAATGTATGACACACTATTTACTTATGGTTTGGGGTCGTGTGTATATGTAACATAGTCCACTTCCCAAACCACAATGCTTATGTTACTCTGTATTCGTTTTTATCTGATTAATCCTCAACCTTCTAATGCCAAGGACAAGTTGTGGAACCTCATCTGTCTGGTTAAGGTTGGGTATGTATGTAAGTAAATCCAGTTGCTTTTTACTATGGATTACACCTCTCAGAATGAACTTCTCATATGCACATCCTTTTTTTTTCTACCTCTATCACTTTAATTTCCTTCTTCCTTTGTGCTTTGGTTCATCTTGGAGCACATTCTTTCATTCTGGGCAGTCGCTTTTTTGCTTGATTTCAGTTTTGTGCACCTACAATATCCCTCTCCGTCTTTTCTTCTAGCTTTATGTGAGGAGAGGTAAGTTAATATTTTCTTACACTGAAAATGTATTTCAGTATGTACTTACCTCCTTTCACACACACTTCCTCCCCACTGCTGGTGTTATTCTTTTAGATCATGCCAATTCTTGAAAGTGAGGATTGAGTAGGAATAGCAGAGGGAGCTAGCTGTGCCAATATTGCTGGAGAATAGGCACATGATATGAATAGTGCGCTGAACATGACATTTTTTTTAGGAATGCTTAGAGGGCAGAAACAGTTGGTGCAATACAATTGGTGGAGAGTAGTCACATGATATGAATGATGTTCTGAATATGAAAATTTTTGTAGCAGAAAGAAGATGGAGACAGCTTTGTGTGAGAGAGGGCGCGAGTAGCTATTGGGGAGCATTTTCAGTGTAAGAAAATGTTAACTTTTGTGGATTTGAAGAAGCATATGAAATGATTGCTTGCAAGCAAGTCTTAGCATTGTGGTGTAATGTATGTTGTTCATTCTTTTCTGTCTTAAACATTTTTAAAGTCATAGATTTATATGTTTAAAATTATTTAAGATATACTTTGTAAGTTCCAAGTAGTAAAAGAGAACTCATTGTCAAACATTTTCTAGTCTTCTGGGGATTAACCAATCATAAACTAAGAATAATACGTTAAAGGAGAAGTAGTATTTTCAAATTTGTTTTAAACCACTACACTTTATGTAACATTGCCAGGCTAGTGGTATAGTGGCACTTAAGTGTGTCTGCCAAAAAGTTTAAAGTAATCTAGTGCAATCCAACATGAGAGAAGACTGGTCATTGTGATGGGAAAAACAAAACATTGCTGTGGAAAGGATGGTCAGTGGTAGAAAACATATTTTGCAATCGGTATTTAAGACTACTTAAATGATAGTTTAAGAGAAATTATGTTACTAATGCTACATAAGTTTCTGTTTAATTTTCTTGTGTATTGTTGTCATGAAGATGAAAGGAAAATAAGTATTTTATCATGAAACAATTTCAAGTCATGTCATATATTTTCATCAGTCTCTTCTAATGTGTGTTTTGTTTAGGAAGCAAAACAAATTCTAAACTTAGACAAGGTAGATGCTGAAAAACTAGAGAAAAGCTATGAACATTTATTTTCTGTGAATGACAAATCTAAAGGAGGCTCCTTCTATTTACAGTCAAAGGTGAGTTGTCATTCATAATTCTGAGTTTGTAAACATATCATTGTAGTTGTGTTTTAGAGATCAAATATTGGTGTGTGTGATCTCCTCGGGCACCAAAGTTTAGATTGTTGTTTTAACTTAATTTCTGAATCAGTAGTGAAATGTGTCTAGACTTAGAAAAATATTATCATCATAGTTAAGAATTCATGAATATGCTGAATCATTGGAGTAATATCACACTCTGTGATATTACATAAGCAATATGTAAGGGATTCTAAGTATGAGGATATTTTATGCTGCATTCTAATGTTTCAAATGTGTATCCCACTACTTTTTTCAGTTAGATCTTAGTTTGCTAAAAGCTATGGACCATAGTTTAAAAGTTTGCTTCATCAAAGCTAAAGAAAAAGCTTGTTAAGTCTTGAGAAAGGTACCTGCTCAAAGCTCAGCTGTGTTTAATATTTGTGTCTTTGGATGCTGTAAAATAGAAAACAAAGAGTTTTATACAATACTCTACAATTTTTTCCTTCAACATCAAATAGATAAACAGACTTAGTTCAATTTTATTTAGGAAACAAAAATTCAAAGTTTTATGCATACAAAATAATGCACCAAGTACACACTCGGGCAATGAAGGAAAAAAACACCAGGTTAACTTCTGTAACAGCAGTTTTTATGATTTCAGTGGGATGAAACCACAGTGTTCTTGGAAGTGGCTAGAGCTGTTTAGTCAGTATTAAGTATACTTAAAGCATCTAAACAAAATTTACAGTTTCTAACAGCACTTTGGCCCTCATTTTTCTCTTTCTATTGCTATATGGTTTATCATAAGTGAGGGAAAGCTATAGCTCATAGGGAATGACAATCAAATGAGCTTTTGAGATAATGAAACAATCTTAGTTTCTTATTTGCTGGCATTATTTTCTAGGTTGTTCGAGCCAAGGAGAGACTAGATGAAGAAATTAAAGTTGCACAGGCAACAGGAAAGCCTAAGGAAACAAGTTCTCAGAGCTCAGACCAGACATAGCATAGGTTTCAGTAATAGCTCATTATATTTGATGTTATTTGTAGATATTATGGTTTACTATGTATTAGATATCAGTTGTATAGTCAAAAATTACCTGAAATGAGAGCTGATTGTGATCACATGAAATATAACAAAATGTAAATTGTATTGCCTTTATCATGAGAATTATACATGGTGAACTCTTCATATGAAATACAGGTTAAAGAATAACAGCAACCTCCTTAATTTTTCCTTTTTTTATAAATAAAAACTTTTCTGGTCAATTACTGAATTATTATATTGTTTGAACTGATTTATTTTAACAATGAATATTTGTAGTGTCTCTCATCAATAAGTCTAAAAACCCTAGGAATCTGTTTCTTTGTGCCATATGCATGTGGTACAATAGAAAAAAAAATACAAATATCTTTTTGGCAGCCAGGTGATGTCTCTTCTGATCTCTGTTTTTTTTTTAGTCAAGAAATGACAGGCCATTACATATTTTTATAATATAAAATCTGAAGTTTTCATTGCAATTATTTTGAAGTTAGTCATTTCTATTTTCATAGAAATATGTCTTTGTTTAATAGATATTTCAACTCAAAGTGTTATAACTGAAAGCAAATCATGTACTAACTAACTACTGACCTTCTATACTAGAAGCTAAAGTGATAAAATGTATGTTTTTATAATGCTTGAAAACTGTAATAATGAGAATTTCTGCACACAAAAACAAACCATTGTTGCATAGAAAAAAATATAAATTCAGAATGGCTTTATTAAAAAGGTAAAATAATAGTATTTAATTTTTACAAACAGTATGTGTTGAAAAAAAGTGACTATCAAAATATGTAAAATGGTTATTTTCTTGCTCTAACTTATCATGATGTGATAGTTTGTACTTGGATATCAACCTAAACAAATAAAGTTTTTACTACTGTGCAGACACACTGTTGTTTTTTACTATTTTGAATTTAATTTTGTGCTTATTTTAGTAAATGTTTATTCTGTATTGTTAGTCTAGAATGTGGATTTAGGATAACCTTATCCTCTTGGACTGACTGATCCTCATGAAATATTATTGGTTTTTATGACTGAAAATATTGTTAATATCGAGAGTATCTAATTGATAAAACAGTGCATTCAACTCATTATAAGTAACAGTTGATACAAATAACCCTGTGTGCTTCAACTCATTATAAGTAACAGTTGATACAAATAACCCTGTGTGCTTCAACTCATTATAAGTAACAGTTGATACAAATAACCCTGTATGCTTCAACTCATTATAAGTAACAATTGATACAAATAACCCTGTGTGCTTCAACTCATTACAATTAACAGTTGATACAAATAACCCTGTGTGCTTGTGCCATAAAACCCTAAACAACCAAATTATAAGAAATATAGTTTTAACAATATATTTAATTAGTTATGCTCATTACTAGACATTAATGTTTTGTTCTCATCTTTATAGGTGCATTATTTTGACCAAAAGTTAATATTACTTTTCAAAAAAATATTTTCAGTTCATAACAAATTTACTTTAGGTTAGACATTATGTGAAGATTTCTATTGCTACATACTTGCCATGATAAGTAATTAACTTTGTATCAATTCGTGTTTTGTCTATTTGCATGCTAGCACGTTTTATTACAGTTTACTGAAGGTTTTGTATTCTTGCAAAAATATGTTTTGTATACTTACACTAGAATATTTTATTTGAGTTTGCTGAAGGATTTGTACTCTCATACTGGTATATTTTATTTAGGTTTACAGAAGGTTTTGTATTTGCATTTTCTTTATTTCATTTACTGGAAATTTTGCAGTCTCACACTGGAGTGTTTGTGTCTACCTGGGTTTACAGGAGGTTTTGTGATCTCACACTAGTGTTTTACTGAAGGTTTTGCAGTCTGAAACTTGAGTTTTTTTATTTGGTTTTACTGAAGATTTTGTAGTCTTACATTAGAGTTTTTTTGTTTATTTGGGTTTACTAAAGGTTTCGTAGTCTTTTACTAGAGTGTTATTTATTTGGGTTTACTGAAGGTTTTGCAGTATCACACTGGAGCATTTTTTATTTGGGTTTACTGAAGGTTTTGCAGTCTCACACTGGAGCATTTTTTCATTTTATTTGAATTCTAAAGGTTTTCCAGTCTCTTACTGGAGTGTTTTTTTAAATGTTTTGCACTTTCTTGCTGATACTAGCAAGACCAATGCTTAGATAGGCAAAGCCAACATCAAGGAATAGCTAAAGTGTCAGCAGAGGTAAGTATTATTGGAAATACATTTTCAAGTTAGAAAAAATGTTAACTTTCACACTGAAGTGTTTATTGTATTTGGTTTTGCTGAAGGTTCTTTAGTCTCACACTGAAGTGTTTTTATTTGGGTTTATTAGAGGTTTTGCATTCTCACCTGGAGCATTTTTTTTTTCTTTTATTTGGGTCTTAAAGGTTTTGTATTCTCACACTGGAGTGTTTTTTATTTCAGTTTACTGAAAGTTTTACAGTCTCACACTGGAGCATTTTTTATTTATTGAAGGTTTTGTAGTCTCACACTGGAGTGTTTTTCATTGTGGTTTACTGAAGGTTTTGCAGTCTCACACTGGAGCATTTTTTATTTTGGTTTACTGAAGGTTTTGCAACGTCATATTGGAGAGTTTTTTAGTTTGGTTTATTAAAGATTTTGCAGGCTCACACTAGAGTTTTACCCCATGATGCATATTTCATGTACAAAAACAGTCCAGTTAAATTAAAGTAGTCAGCCATGTAAAGATGTGGTAAGAAGAAACATGAATTATATGATAGGTCAAAACTTGTAAAGATGTAATCTAATAGCAGGTAAGGCAAACAATATGAAATTGGGGAAAATTTGTCCCTCATTTTAACATTTATGTTTATGCTTGTTCTGTTGCAATATAAAAAAGTGGACCAAGTATTATACAATTTAGTCCTTGTTTAACTTGCCTACTTTGACATTACATCTTTACGAAGTTTGATCTTTTATGTAAGATGGCTCACTTTTTTTTTATATCACTTCTTTATATGACTAACATTGCTCTTTTTGAACATGTGAAATGTTTTGATAAAATATTACTACTATGACTACAACTTTCAATATCATAAAACTTGAAAATAATTAAAATTTATTATTTGTTTTACCTAAACTTGATTTGAACAAGTTAGGGACTTAGTCATAAAGATGGAAAAGAAAAATTATAGTAGTGGCTGTGGGATGCATTAATTATTAAAAAGTAGGAAAGATATTTTCTAATTACTGTATATCATGTCCAGTAATGAGAAATTATAAAGGACATCATTCCCTAGTTCAGATTAACATTTACCATTGGAATGTTTATTTTGTGGTAGTCCTTTGGTTACTATATGTTTCATTACTTCAACAAGGAGAAGATGAACAACAGTAATCTAACCATTTATTGCTCTTAATGTAAACCAAATGTTAAGCTGCTGTTTTTAATCTGATGTAAAAGTGTGTAGATCTGTTCAGAAACTTAAGAACAGTGGAAGTCCAGTATTTGGAATAGCTGTGGCAATACCCTAGATTCAGGGTCATGGTCAGGTACATTATCCAAGAGTAACAGAGCCTTCACTTCAATCTCGTTCTTAGTTAGGTACTTCTTCACAGAGGGGCAAAAACTTCAAAAGCCCATTCATAAAACAACTGCTTGGTCACCCATGCTTTATAATTGGATTTGTAATAGACCCCCAATTCACCTCTGACTTTTTGTTGCTTAAATACCCTTGAATTCTCAGAATGGTACACAAGCATGGGTTTCAATTTGAAATCTCCTGATGCATTAGCCCCAAGCAACAAGGTAAGCCTATCCTTTTGGGGCTTATGGCCTGGCAAAGGATTTACTTCCTTGGTGGTGTAAGTTCTCTGGGGCATCATTTTCCAAAATAGCCCAGTTTAATCCACATTAAATACTTGCTGGGGCAAATAGCCTTCCTCCTCCATTAATTCAGCATATTCCATTTTGAACTTTTCTGCAGCCTCCTTATCTGCATTGGAAGCTTTACCATGCCTAACCACAGAGTGGATCTCACTTCTCTGCTTGAACCTTTCAAACCAACCCTTACTTGCCTGAACCTGAAGATTGAGCTCATTCACGTTTAAGGTGATCAGAAATGGTTTTAGCCTTCTTACAAATCATACTGCTATCTATGGACTCACCTCACATTTGCCTATCACTAATCCAAAGTAACAGCAGTCTTCCCATTTATTTAATGACCCTGGTTGAGGCATCACTCACTTTAGTAGTTTTCATTTCTCCTTATTTAGCTAGATGGTGGAAATTGTTGATTGGGACAAACCATACTCCTTAGCAAGCACACTTGTTTTGTCCGCTTTTTCTAACTTCTTAATTTCCTGCTTTATCTTAGGGGTTATGCAATTTCTACTCTTTTTTATACTTTGCAAGATACCTTTAGGGGCCATTGCAATCACTATAAGTTTACTAGTTTACTTTTAAATCGATAAATTCAATAAAATCAAAGTTTGCAAGAGTCCTCTTCCCACAGCCATAACATGGCAAACTATGTAAACAAAGAAAAACTGGCTCCAAACGCTCATAAATGGGTGTTGCTGATTGGCTGAGGCCTGCAAAGTTTAGTTAGGAGTGCTCTGATTGGTCAAAATTTGTGCATTTTGTTATGTGGAAAATATTCATTATGTGAGTCAATGGGGCCTATAGAAGGTGATTTATTACGTGGATATCTGATAGCTTCGTTATGTGAGGGCTCACTGTATTATAATTTAGAATACTAATTTGATACTCTGATTCAAGATCTCAAGTGTGACAATGTTCTAATATAAAAACTCAAATGTAATGATACTCTTATTTAGAAACTCAAATGTGAGGATACTCCAATTCAAAATCTCAAATGTGACGATGCTCTTATTTAGAAACTTGAGTGTGACGAGAAACTCAAATGTAATAATATTTTGATTTAGAACCTCCATTGTGACGATACCTGTAATTGACTTTTTTTGGTATTGGCCTTTAAAACTACTACAATAAACTCAGTTATTTGACTTAAGTAAGGAAATATCTGCTGAAGCTTTTTGCCAAACACTAATCATAGCAGAACTGTCT